GCTCTCACTTTAATGGACTATATTTATTACTTTTAAGGCTCCAACTTAACAAGGACAAAACCTAAAGTCCTAATATTTAATGGTTAACAAATGCAAGTTAATAGTCATCTCATAGATGTCCAAATCTATATTTACAGTCCTACAGATGCAAACATGGTCTCACTGCGGTTTTTAATAAACAACTGAGGATGGTCATTGATTCACCATACAGGAGTTGGTAAAAATAAGAGCCTTCCCGACAGCCCCATCCAGAGCAAAAGCTATGTTCCAGACCATGGCTGCTGCTCTGAGGCTGCTGGCATTCCCCCACAAAAGACAAGAGGTCTGCAGTGCCCTATCCCACCGTGGTATAGCCAAAAGTCAGTTCCACCAAGTGACTGTTTCAAATACAGCCAAAGGAGACACTGGCCCCGCTGTTGCCTCAACATAACTGCCTGCTAGCAGACTGGCCTCTGGAAGTCAAAATGCTGCCAAGCAGGCTTGTCCTCTGTGCCCAGCCATGGAGGTTCAACCAGCACAAGAGCCATAGACACTTCCAGCCTTCTAGCTCCTTGGCCTGGTGGAAGACAAATAAATGACTCCTTGATTCAGTGACCTCCATCACTCTCGCCCAGCTCAAAGTAACATCGCAGGTCTGTTTTGGCCTCACACTGGGGTCCCACGGACATGTTGCCAACTTCTATCTTGGGAGACTTCAGATGCCTTCTCAGTTCTCTTCAATATGCAGAAGACCAGGCCTTAAGCCTAAGTTAGAGCTGATATTGTCAGGCCTAGACACAATATGCCTAGTTGCTAGACTCAAGAAACAGAACTAACTGTAACCTTTTACCATCCTTTAGCTAAAGGACAATAAATGTTCGTAGCAGTCTCACCTATGCCTTAAGATTGATAAACACCAGTTATACATACTTATGTCTAAGAAAATGCCTTAAGATTGGTAAATGTAAGTTATGCATGATTGAGAGTCTAAGAAAGTGTCTTAAGGTTGGCAAATGCAAGTTATAAATGTTTGAGGGTCAAAAAATGTTTTAAGATTGGTAAATACAAATTATAATGGTTACAAGGTCTAAGGTGATTAAAGATATCCTAAATAGGTAAAACTGCTTAATAGTTCTTCCTGTTTCTATGTTCCTGTTATATTGGCTGTCCAGAACTTTGACCTTTATCAATAGAGCTCTGATTTATTAATCTAACTCTAATACAAAAACATTCCGATATCACCCACTATCATAGCTCCAAGCTCAAGATTTTTAATCTCTATAATGTTTGCTGATATTAATGTTTAAGATCAAATGAGTTTCCACTTCTACTTCATGAAAGGCCTCTGCCTTTTCAGAGCTCACCTTAAAGAATGCTTGTACTGTTAATACAAATGTGAATGTCTACTGCCTTTTCTACAATGTATATTTCAGTGCAGGTTACAATTGTGATGCTAACATGTCTAAAGTTTTATCCCCTTTGTAAAACTTAAGAGTAATTCTTGTAAGCTGCAGGAAATCATCTGAATCCACCTCTCAGGTCAATGGGGCTCCAGATAAGTACTACATTTATTGCCTATCTTAGAAGGTGGGATTCCTCCACTTTCCCTGGTTTTGGGACTTTCCTTTCCGAGCTACCAGATTGCTATCTTCTGCATGCAACACCAGCTGGATTGGTGAGTTCTCCTCATTGGCCAGCCACTGGATTGGTGAGTTCACCTCATTTAACAGCATAAAACACCTCTCTTGATAGGGGAAGCTTGACTGTTCAGTGTAGAGCAACTTCCTACTATCTTTAGAGATGGAGGGATCCCTCCTCAGCCATAGTTTTCACTGGCTATGGTTGACCTTCTCTGATGACCTCCATTTAGGGCTTCCTTTACCTTGGGAGAGCCTCCCACATGCACAGTCCCTTCTCTCCCCTTCACGCTCCCACAGGAAAATCCTAGGTGGACTTTGCTCTCTTGGGCAACTGTGCCCCTGGTCTCTGGCCAAAAGCTGATGAGCTATTGGATTAGGTAGGACCATTGTTACTCAGTCATACCTTGCCTTTGGGAAGCCACTAGAAGGCTTCTCTGCCTCCCAATGAGAAATGCCCAGAGACCTGTTCCTCCAGATTCTCCTCTGGGATGTCTTCTGAAGGATTTCAGGTTTCGGCACCTAGTGCCCACTTTAAGGGCCTCTAAGTCTACACAATTCTCTAACCAAACCTCGCCTCAATGACAGATCCAGAACAAAGCCTTTTTAATTACTTTTTTAATTAATTAGTGATTGGGTTAATAAAGGTCCCCCCAGGTAAGCAGAGGTTTCCATGTTCAAGTCTCTTTGATCCAAACCATCCACATCTGTTCACTCTCCCAAACATTTTAAATATGTACCTAAAGGATTTTCGCCATAACTACATAACTTTATCTTCTGCCTATATATATGTTTCAGTGTCCAGCCAGACACAGATGTTTCCTATAGTCACAACTATAGGTAGCGCCAAAGCAGCTACCACAAGTGTTCCAGTCTGACCTCACAGACTTCCAACAAGCTGGACCTACACTTTCCCTCCCAGCCAGGTATGTTCTCACAGACCCTGGACAATATCAAAGCAGCCTGTTCTTCCTGGACTTGTCCAGCATTTCAGCATTTGACCTCCCTACAGCACCCCCAATGTCAGCAGGAAGTAGCCAGAAGAGAATCTACACATGTTATTCACTTATTAACAAAAGACTGGAATGGTGTGTTTCAGGACCAGGACAAGCTTCTCCCAGCATTCCTCAGTCCCCACCTGCTGCCTTGCGTGGCTGGCAACTCTCTACTGACAACCCTCTGCCCTAAATTTTCCAGGGCAGAGGCCTTCCTTTTGACATGTAATCTGCATATTTTGTTGCTATTATTTCTTTTCTCTCTCTTCACCCCCTACATGACAACCAAGAGCTGCTTCCAATGAGCCTAAATTTATATACTTTAACTTACCTTACATAAGAAGCAGCCCAAGTTCCTCATTTTTTAATTATAGAAAAAAGGAGGAATGTTAGGATTTTGGAACTAAACCTGCTCCTGGGTTGCTTAGCAACTTATGATATCATCGTGTCACTGGCCAGGTAGCCATACCTGGAAGGCATGGTTACCTTCCCACTTAAAGGGACCAGCTGGCCATGTGGTCCTTCTCTTGGTCTCTCTTGCTCTTGGCCTCTTGCCTTCTGGTCCTCTCCCCTCTTTCTATTGGGGTTCCCCCTCTTTCTTTCTCCCCTCTCTCTTTCTCCCTATCATGTCTTGCTCTCCCTTCTCTCTCTCTCTCTTTGTATCCATCTAATAAATCTCTTTCATATAAAATCTGTTATAATTGTCTTTTTTTTTAATTTGTCCCCTAACACCTATCAGTGACCTGGTTTCCAGTGAGACTCATGACTTATTAGCTGTGTGTCACACTAGTATAAGGAAAATAATTTTCAAGAGTAAAAGTTGTCTTCAAATGCAAAAAACCATATATGCCACATATAATCATTAGGAAAATTAAATTTCAGTAACTATGAAGTTAGATCAAATGTTTTATTAGAACTACAGTATAATTACTGTTCTTAGCATCATGTATGTATGTGTGTATGTATGTATGTATTCCCCCTATCATCTATGCTACATGACAAACATTATGTGCATTTGGGAGAGATTAAATCCAAGTGTAATTTCATCCTAACAGAATTTTCTTGGAAAAGAGAAAATAAAAATGGTTCTCATGGAATTCTATTGCATCTGCTCCAATTTGTCTTTGCCAAAATTTTCCTTGTCAGTTTCCATAGCCCTGCTCTATTAAGAAAGCCATTTAATTCCTTGAGGTCTTTAACAACAGCCTTTGATGTTCACTATTTTACCTCTGCTGAATTCAGACTCCTTACAGGAAACCAAAGAATGGCCATTTCTCTTAGCTGAGACCTTGCTTTTAGTACAGAAAATTCTATCTCCATACAATCTAGAGCCCAGGAATCAGAGGTCAGCTGCATCTTTTAGCTGCCTTGATCCTTAGTGTATAAATATCTGTTTTCTTGTGAGTGATAGGACATTATGCTTAAATCTGAGTCCGAACATACAAATTGTGAGTTCACCAAAAGTATAAAATTAAGTACATTTTAGTAATTGTTTTAACTTTATTATCTCTATGTAAACTTCTGATGTCCTTACATTCTTAGTATCTGATTCTCACACTCTGAAGCAGAGAAGGACTCAAGGTTAAGGCTGGATCATTTAAAGTATAAAGCATTTAAAAGTATAAATTAAACCCATAACTCTCTACTTCCTTCATCCATATCCAAGTTTGTACTCATTGTTAAATATCCAACATCTGACTTTCAACTCTGAGTCCCATCTCATTTATTATTTTCTAATCAGGTATAGGTGAGACTCAAGGTATGATTCATTCTGGCAAAGTTACTGCATAGCTGTAAAACTTCACCCACAATCTGCTTCCAGCAAAGAGGTTGCACAGACATAGCATGGAACTTCCTATTCCAGGAGAGACGATTCAGAAAGCAGAGAGGCCGGGAGCCTAAAGCAATCCAAACAGAAGTTGGCAAATACCATCAGATTTTACACTGGAGAATAATTTTCTTAGCCCTTATTGGGTTTCCTCTCAACCTAATTTCTGGGGCATCAATATTAACCCATTTGACATCTATGTAATTTCCATGGTGCTGTGGTTATCATCTTTGCTTTACTGCTCTGAATGTTTTGTTTTTAGAGTTGAGGTCTACAAGACAGGGAGCTTTACCAACCCTCATAGAAACATGACTACTTTTTCATTTTCCATTGAAATTATTGAACATGATGCTCTGCAACCCCAAGATCATCTCCTAGAACAAATCATCTTTTTGGATGCTGAAGCCTCCATCATCACCATGGAAAGATTCCCCTCTAAGGCCTCTGAGAAAGGAAGAGGGGTGAGCAATGACTGCTGACACATTCCCAACATGTCTTAGAGGCTCATTGACACAACAAGCCCTCCACTTGATCTGACATATTCTGAATTTTTCTTTTTACCTTTTCTCATGAGCTTCAAACCATTAGTAATCACGTCTTCTGAGATGAGACTATAATTGGACATGTTGTTTTCCTTCATGGCTTGGAAGGAGCTGTGCTTGAGAACCAGATCCAGCTCATTTGGCTCTAATTTCTTTCCTAGGAAGTCACAGATCTTCTCTATAGTTCCCCTTGGGTCCTAAAAGAAGAAGAAAGAAAAATGAGCATTATCAACAGAAAGCTCTCTCAAGACAGATGCAGAAAATTAACTGTGGGTGGAGGATCAGAAAAGGGACATGAAGAAAGAAATGGAACCATCAAAAATGGGATTAATAAAGAAACAGGCCATGGAGACAAGCCATAAGTCACAGACACATCAATATGGCTGACCTTTGGCCCCTAAAGACAAGAGGTTGGATTTTCTTTTAGGAAAAAGAGGATATTAGCGACAGGGTCACATATAACTCAGGTTAAACTTAAACTTTCTTTGTAGAGGAAGATGACCTTGAACTTCAGATCCTACTGCCTCCATCCCATTAAGTACACTCAGATGTTTTTTACTTAAGACGGGGTGCTTCACTATAAAGTCTGCCTTGTGGGATGGAAGTTGCTATGGAGACCTGTCTCCCTAGAGTCCACAGAGATCATCCATCTGGCTTTTCCTCCCAAGTGCTAGAATTGAAGTTACATAGAACAATATGCAACCTGCTCCGAGATATTTAAAGACACTTATAGAAGTACTACTAGACAATGATCAAGGTGAATGAAAGAACTTTCTCAATGATCTTGACAGAGATTATGCTTATGTCGAATATAATAATATTTGACATTATATATAATTATACAATAATTTATCATCCATTATAATTTATTATAATTAATTAAATTAATTTAAATAATTAATCATAATAATTTAATTACTATAATAATGAATAAATTATTGTTGATTTATTATAATTTATTACAATTATCTATATATAATTATATAATAATACAATTTATTTCTGTAGGCTAACTGAGAGTAACAGAGAGAGTAACCGAAAGTAACAGTTACATAAAAATGTTCTCAATACTTATTACTTGGAGTATTTCTGAGATATTCTGCTTTGTTGTAAGAAACTCCTGCTGTACCTCAGATAGACATAAAATTCCCAATCTTCCTGCCTCAGATACCCAATTTTTGGAAGTTCATCTGTTAAGTTAAGCTAACACAACTAGCTTAATCCTAGGTAATAGTCATAATAAGGCAAAATCTTGGAACACTGAACATTTTGCTTTGAATTGTAGCTCTTTTTCAGAGGCCATAAAATTGTTTTTTGGCTTAAAACTTTTTTATTCATTTCACCACACCTCCAGTTTATGTTTTGTATGAAGACAAACAACCATGAGAATTAGAAAAAATGTGTTAAATGGACAGAAAAGAGACTGTTGGGAATCCTCAGCACTGTGCAGCAGGGATAGCTAGGTAATGGACCTTCCTAGGGAAAACTTAATTTCATAATGAGAAAATAAAAGATTTAATACATAACCAAAAAGGTGTGATGAAAAGCTTTGCATTCTACATGTAAACTTACTGTTTTCTGAAACATAACAATATAAGGTCAGATGATTTTTAAAATTTTTTGTTATTATAATTTATTTACTTGGTATCCCTGCTGTGTCCCCCTCCCTCATCTCCTTCCAACCCCACCCTCTTTTCTTCTTCTCCCCCTATACCCTACCCTGGTCCACTGATAAGGGAGGTCTTCGTCCCCTTCTCTTTGATGCTAGCCTATCTGGTCTTAAAAAGACTGGTTGCATTGTTTTCCTCTGTGGCCTGGCAAGGCTGCACCCCCCAGGGGGAGGTAGGTGATCAGAAAGCCTGTTACTGAGTTCATGTCAGAGATAGTCCCTGCTGCCCTTATTAGGGACCCCACGTGGAGATTGAGTCTGTGGGCTACATCTGAGCCAGAGTTTTAAGTCAAATTATGTTTGAATAATGTTACTTTTCTCTTTTTTTCTTTTTGCACTTTAAATTTTTTCATGGAAATTTTCCTCAATCTCTTCATGGAGGAAGGTAGGCTGACAGTAATGCTTCACATTTCCCTGTGATTCTTAGGATCCCATTCCCCCATATCACCCTTAGGTCTGCAGCAGAAAACCTGTGGCAGCACTCCCTATTTCTAGTGGATCCAAAGAACTTTACCTTCTAAAATTGTTGGCTCCACTTATATTATCCCAGCCCCCAAGTCCCAGCACTCTAGGAACTCACAGACCACTCTGGCCAGGAAACAGGTAAGCTAACTACAGATCTTCACCTCTCCCCACATTTCTCAAAGTCCAGTCACCCAGTCTCATACTCAAGTCTGCATCAGAACACCTGCTGCAGCCTCCCTTTCATCCTTGCCCCAATCTTCAGTGGATCACAGGGATTCAATCCCCCAAATTTCCTTCTTCCCACTCATTGATTTGTCCCAGCCCCCAACTCTAGCATCTCCTGAGAAGCCACAGGCCATTCTGACCAGGGAAGCAAGTAGGCTACAACTGCAACTCTCCCTCCATCTTTTACCTCCAATTTTTGAGTCTCATCCCCAGCTCTTGAGCGAATCTTCTGCTGTGGACTCTCCTCACTATCTGGACCCAGTCCTAGGAGACAAACTAAGCAGATTCTGGTGTAACACCCTGCTTTTCTCCTGCTGTAAAGTCCTACCACCAACTCCAGTCCCTATACTTACTCCTAAGTCTCAGGTCCCAATAACAAGAACCACAGTTTACCTTGTACAGGCAGCACAGAGCAACCACATTGTACTAAGAACCAGAGCAAAAACAGAAGCAAAGGTACAAAACACCCAGCCAAAAAAGACAAGGCCAGATATCAGCACAGAGAATTTTAATCTTGCCAATCTAGGATGTCTAAATGTGAGTATAAAAACACAATCAATAACAGCCTAGACAATATTAGAGCTTAGTGATCATACCATAGCAGACCCAGGATATTCCAACATAGCTGAAGCACAAGGAAAAGTCTTTAAAACAACTCATACAAATATGATAGAGGTCCTTTTAAAGGAGATGAATATGTCCTTTAAAGATATCCTTGACATCATTAAAAAAAAAACCTTTGGAAAGAAATGGATTAAAAATATCTCCACTTTAAAGTGGAAACAGAATCAATGTAGAAAATCCAAACTGAAGGAAATCTTAAAACAAAAATTTTAGAAACTCAAACAGGCATCTCAGAGGCAAGCTTCACCGACAAGTACAATGGATGGAAGAGAGACACTTAGGAATTTAGGACATGATAGAATAAATAGATACACTGGTCAGGGGAAATGTTAAATGTAAAAACTTCCTGGCATAAATATCCAGAAAATCTGATGCCCAAATATAGAAATAATAAAATAGATGAGGAAGAAAAAACCCAGGTCAAAGGCACAGAAAAAGTTTTCAACAAAATTATAGAAAAAAAAAATTCTAACCTATAACAAGAAGATGCCTATCAAAGCACAGCAAGGATACAGAACACCAAACAGTTTGGACTAGAGAAGAAAGTCCTCTGAGAACATACTAATCAAAACACTAAATGTTACAGAACAAGTTATGGAAGGGTGGGTGAGGGCTAGGATGGGAGAATCAGGTGGGAAGTAGGAAGGGAGAGGGCCTTTTGCAACAGAACACAGGAAGAGACAGGTAAATGTAGGAGGTATTTGAAGGGTGGTATGGAAACCTTAAATCGTAGAAACTTCCTAAAGTCTGTGCATATATGAAGGTGATCAGAATGAATCACCAAATAATGGAGGAGACACAACCCTAACTGGCCATCTGTTGTCACCAGAACATGTTCCAGTAATAGGATTGGGTTACATCCGATTGAATTGTTGCCCGAAAGGGCTCCAAGGCTCCCTGAACAACCCAGACTCTTGCTAAGACTATTAGGTTGCTCTCCACAAACTGACAGCAATGCCCCATTGCTAAAGACAACACCTACACAAGATATCTAAGCGGTGCCTACAAAGAAGAGTCACCACTAAATTTTGTGTCTGTGGTAGAGGAAGGCATTCTTCATGCTCCACAAAGAAAAATATAAACACCAAGGTAGACACAAATCCTTTGATCTACAGTGACATGCTGCTTGTAAGAGTTGCTAGGTGAGTGGTGGCTCAAAATTTGTGGGAGGAACCAACCAAAAATTGATTGATGTAAGCCTCACTCCATGAGATGTAACACTTGCCCTACCCTGACCAAGAACCTGAGACTACATAACTGTGGGACCTATGGGAAAAATGCTCTTAAAATAGCGATGAAATGACTCCTGGTGATATTCTGCTGTACACATAGAACAATGGCTTGTTTAAGCACAGTCAGGGAAGCTTCCTCTTGCAGCAGATGGGGACAAATACAAAAACCCATAGCCAAATACACACCCTGACACACATTGGAACCCCCAGCCCTAAATGGGCAGTCCCCATTAACTCCCTCTCTCCAGAGCTCAGGGGGCCTGCAGAATAAGAGGCTGAAAGGATGTAAAAGCAGGAAGGAGTCGAGGACCCCAAGAAAGCTAAGCTCTTTAAAACAATAGGAGCAAAGCTGATATGAACCCCCAGAGACTGCAGCAGCACGCACAGGACCTGCCTGGGTCTGCACCAGGTATTCTGTGTATGGATCTCATTGCTTCTCGTTTAGTGTTTTCATGAGTTTCCTGAGTGAAATAACGCGTGGGTCTCTGATTCTTGTGCGTTCAGTTGGGTCTTTTCATTTGTTGGTTTGTCTGGTCCAAGTTCCATGTGATAGTTTTTGTTTTGTCACATGTTCAAACCTGTTAGGATTTCTATTGCTGCGATGAGACATGCTGACCAAAGAAACTTGAGTAGTAAAGGGTTTAGTTGGCTTACACTTACACACCACTGTTCATCACTGAAGGAGGCCAGGACAGGAACTCAAACAGCACAGGAGCCTGGTGGTAGGAGCTGAGGCAATGGAGGTGCTACTGGCTTGTTCATCGAGGTCTACCAGGCCTTCTTACAGAACCCAGGACCCAGCCCAGGACCACTCAATGTCTGAGCCCTCCTCCATCACAATTAGTTAAGACTGGGCCTTACAGGTTTACCTGCAGCCACATTTTATGGATGCATTATCTTAATTGATGTTTCCTCTTTCAGATGACTCTAGCTTGTGAGAGATTGATATAAAACTACCCAACAGGTCATTGAAATTTTATTTTATTATTTGGAGTGTTTTCCTGTTGTAGCAGATTTTTTTTTTTTTGAGAAGAAAACTTTAAAGTTGGTGGGTAAGGAGGTGCAGAGAATCTGAAAGGCCTTCAGCACAGGATGAATATGATCAAAATATATTCAAATTTAAAGGTTGTTTTAATTAATAAAATGTAATAAAACAGAGATTGCCAAAACGAAAAGAAATCACACTCTCAGCAGCCTTCCCTATGACCTGGGTCTACTTCTATAGGTAATCAGGCTGGAGGACTGCTTCTTCTAGTCCTTACCTGTGTGGGGCCTGTGAGAATGATGCTTACCCTTTTCAGGTCTTCATAGCTCAGTAACAGGACATTGTCCAGTTCTCTAATGGACAGCCAGCCACGGATGTGCTCAAACCATGATCCATAAAAAACTGTGTGAGGGGAGGAGGAAAGTGTCCATTTCAAAACATGAAGTCTGCTTGTTTTTTTTTTCCACTTTTCTGCAAACAGCTGATAGCTTTACTAAGAA